TTTTTATTTCCTCTGCAATTACATTTAATCATCTTTAACAGCTATTGTTTTTTCAATTTGTTATTGCTGGTTAAGTGGTGAGAATATTTTTCTTTTGATGCTTTAAATTTCACCTTATTGCTTTTTCTTTGTAATTTTAATTTGCTTGCTTTATAAGAAACCTGGTGATTACTTAGTCTTAAAATCTCCAAATATTTATGGTGATATCGATTTTAGAATGAAAGGATCTAAATCATACATTTTAATTTCTTTTTTTAAGAAATACTTTGTTGTGATCTCATTTCTTGTCTTATTTTAGAAACAATTAGAATGTGCTATAATATCTATAGTAGTATATGGAGTTAGTAGTTTATATTTATTATACTTTAGATTCTTTAAAAGTAAAATAATAACAATAATAAAAGTGCTTTAAGAAATAATGGTGAGTGTATTATTTATATTTATTGGAATAACTATCAAAGAAATGTAAAATACTGCTAATGAAGATGTAATATCAAATGAAACTTTATTAAAAATTGAAATACTTGGTAGTATAATTCTAATTTTGACAATTATTTGTTTATCAATAAGTACTTTTTTACAGCTTATTAGATATGTATTCTTAATTTAATTTCTTATAAAAATTTATAAAAAAAATAAAAGAGAAAAGCAATTGAATAAAATAGAACTAGAAGCTGTAATTAGTACAGATTTATAGTAATAACTTAAATCATTGTATAATTCCACTTACTTTAGAGTTAGTTCATCTAGTATTTATAAAAAAAAGAGATTATTGAAAAGCAACAACTGAAAAAAAAGAAAAATGATCATGTTTATTTTAAATTATTTATACAAATCTAGAATTATAAAATGTTTATATTTAGTAATTGATTATTATATCATTGAATTTAGAAAACTAATTTATAATATTTAATATTTAAATAAAATAAATAAAATAAAATTTTTTCATTTTATAATATTATTTTAACTTAAACCTTCTTTAGCCAAGAATCTTTTTTATTTTTACTCATTTTTTATATCTGATTTGTTTATATTGTTGGAATTATTTTATTATTCTTCATATTCAACTTTTAAAATTTGTGAAGGATTAATAATTACTTTTTGTCAGAATTTTGCTTTTGAACTAAAAATTAATTTGCTTCTTTTGAAATTATTTGATAAATATTTTTACTATATTTATATTTTATTCCATTTAACAAATTATTCTTTTTATTTGTTGATTCTTGCATAATCGTTAATTATACCTTTTTTAAATAATATTTATTATTCTACTAAATATTTATTTATTTCCTACTACCTAAATAATTATCAGAGAATGGCAATATATTTATTAATTAATAATAAAAAAACTATTTATCTTAAGAAGAGGTTATAAATTTATTAATTAATTTATTACTTTTTTATTAATTAATCTATTTAATCGGTCTGTCCTTACTTTAAAAACTATCCAATAATTTAAAAATAAAATACAAATTGTGTATTTGTATTTTTTTTATTAAGTTTAACCACAAATCAATTTATTGATTGAATTTGAATGTGGTTGAAGATATTTGATAATCAAGTTTTATTTAGAATTATTAAAAGCTTGAAATTGATTTAGATATTCAAAAAGAAAATTAACCATTAAAATCTTTTAAATTTACAAAGAAGAATTTAATTATTTAGAAACTATATTACATGAAATGGCTTAATTTTCATAGATTTGGTATGAAAATTTTGATTAAATTTCATTTATTTCTTAAAGATAATTTTTAGCTTTAGTTATATTAGTTGAGCACAGTTGTTACAATAAAATATAAAAATAATTTAAATAACTAAATAAATAAACAAAAGTAATAGATGTAATCTTATTTCTTCTGAGGTTAAGCTTTTAGGTAAATACCTTTTCTTTCATTGAAAAAAATTTTAATTAAATATATTGTCATCTTTCAACCAATATCTAAATAATTTATGGTGTTAAAAATGTAAATAATAGGAAAACTAAATATTTTAAATATAAAATTGATCGCATTTAAAATAATGTTTTATCAAGAGATTATTTGATTCTATTTATTTATTTGATATCTATAATTTAATCGATTAGTTTAAAATATTTCTGTAATAGTGGTAGAATAATTTATATATTCAGATTTTGAATAAAGGATTACATATTAAATCAAAATCTGATGATTAAAGTCAATTTAGTTTTTGATTTGCGATTGATTTGGTTTACATAATTTTGGAAATAAAATAAATAAGTGTTATCCATTATATTTCCGATTTCAAAAATTTCGATGGGTAAATTGAAATTAATTAATTATTATTTGCTCTTAAACACCATAAATTTCATATCAAATATTTAAAATATCTTTTTTTGAGTATCTTTACAGAGATCTAAGCTTTATAAGGAATAAAAGGGAAATCAAATATTTAATTTTGTAAATTAATATTGCAAGATATTTTTTAGATTTCATAATCAGCTAGAAAATGTAATTATTAGATATTTATGCATCCATGAAATATATAAATTTTTTATTATTTGTTTTGAAATTTGTGACTTCACCATTTTATTAAATTTCTTTCATTTTGTTAATCTATATTTTAACTAATTTTATTTCATTATTAATAAATTATTAAAATTAATACACAAAAGAAGGTCATTTTTTTGGTTTTTTATTAAGAAGCAAATTTAAGTAACCTTGATTGAAAAATTTATTTTCGTTTGATTTTATCTGTCTCGTAACAAAAAGTAATTAATTAGTGAATATAAATTATTATTTTATTTAGATTAATATTTTAGGAGCATTAAGAATACAAACAAAATTTAATAAAAAAAATAGGAATAAAGTTATAAAAGCTAACAAAATATGTTGCTTTTTATCATTTTTATTTTAAATATTACTGTGATTATTGGATTTTCCTGTACAGATCCTAATTGTCAAATCTGTGATGAGAAAGGATGTCAACATTGTTATGATTAGTATTTTATAAATTCTTCAAATTAATGTGATAGATGTTTAGATCCTAATTGTCAAATCTGTGATGAGAAAGGATGTCAACATTGTTTTGTTTGGTATTTTATAAATTCTTCAAATTAATGTGATAGATGTTTAGATCCTAATTGTATAAGTTGTCATGGATAAAGAGGGGAAAGTTGCACTGCTTGTGGCTCTAACATGTATTTTTTAGAAGGTGATGGTTCTTGTACTGATTGCAAACTTGAAGGATATTATGCTAAAGAAATGGCTTGTAATAAATGCACTCCTGGCTGCAAAAATTGTGGAGGTTATATGTATTGTTATTAATGTTAATCTGGTTATTTTTTAAAAAATAATTTTTGCTCTAAATGCATTCCTAACTGCCAAAATTGTAACAATGAAATCACTTGTGATTTATGTTAATCTGGTTATTATATAAAAGAAAATTCTTGTAATAAATGCATTCCTAACTGTCAAAATTGTAATGATGAAATCACTTGTGATTTATGTTAATCAGGCTATCTTATTCATGAGTAAACAAGCTAATGTGTTATTTGTTCATAACAATCAGGATATTACGCTTCTGGAAAATATTGTAAATAATGTAATATAGCTTGTAAAGAATGCTCAGGACCTACTGATTTAGATTGTATTATATGTAACTAATTTTATTTTCAAATTGATCCAACTACAAAACGTTGCTAATCTTGTCCAAATAATGCATATCTAAGCTCCTCTAAGTAAAATTGTTAAAAATGTAGTTATTAATGCTCTCTATGTGATAATGTAGCTTTAAGTTATAGTATGCTTACTAAGGATTAAAGCTTAAATTCCAATTAAAATTATTGCTTAGTATGCAGTTGTTAGTTATGTGAAAGTGGTTACATATTATTTAATTAAAAATAATGTACATAGAGCTGTGAATCTATAGGCAGTAACTATATTTATAATTCTTCTACAAACAATTGTACTTGTTAATAAGGGTATAATTATCTTGTAAGAAATCCATACAAAAATAATTTTGATTGCTCAATCAGTTAAGGTTATGGATATTTCTGTGATTCTTATAATATTTGCTTCTAATGTAGCTAAAGCTGTAGTTCTTGTTCTGATAGTCAAACATGTATAAAATGTAATGAAGGAAGTTATTTATGGCAGAATGCTTGTTCTTAAAACTGTTTTCCAGACTTAAATATTATCTCTAATACTTAAAAAGGAATATGTGAGTGCCCTGAAGGATATAGCTTAGAGAAGCTTAAAAGTCCTGTTTAGGGATAAAGTATGATTTGTTAGCTTCCCTTAGCTATTTAATCTATAAACGTCTATAATTATCTAGCTTAAAGCAAAGATATAACTCTTCCAACAGATTTTAGTGATAATCTAATTGTTATTACTTATAATAGGAAATTAACAACTGAAGAATATTCCTCTTTTTAATTTTTAATAGACGAAGGAATATTGAATTTAGGTAATCAGTATAGCATCAATTCTATTTCTATGGAAAACTAAAATATAAAAGTAATAATTATATCCTAGGAAAACAGGAGAGTAAAACAAATCACAATTAGCATTAAAGGATCTAAAATAAACTATTAAATTCCAAACACAATAATTGTTTCATCAAGTTATGGAAAATAAACTAATTCGTTAGCATCAGGTAAATAATTAACATAAAATTTATAAGCAGTTTCATAAACCTTCTCTACAGATTAAAATAGTGCATCTGGCAAAGTTATAAATTTTCTAAAGTAATTTTAAATTTTATGTTCCATTTCGAATTTTGTCTAAGTTCTACCTTTGATATACCTAATCAAAGAATATCTACCCCTTAAAGTGAACTTTGCTTCTTTGTCAGGAGCATCATTAGTTTTTAATTAAACACCTCAGCCTACTCAGATATCATTTGATTCATAATAATAATATAGTAAAATATCTAATTAATAACAGTTAAAAGATACATTAAAGTCATTTGGAATAAAACCAGGAATTTATAATAACTTTTTACATGTTTAAATAATAGTCTTAGTTTGCACAATTTTAATGATTTACTGCATGTTTTTTAGAAAAATTATGAAAGGAAAATAGTACACGTCTTTATTAATATACACTATTTTTAATTTTCTCTGCAGTTACATTTAATCATCTTTGACTGCTATTGTTTTTTCAATTTGTTATTGCTGGTTAAGTGGTGATAATATTTTTCTTTTGATACTTTAAATCTCAGCTTATTGCTTATTCTTTGTAATTTTAGCTTACTTACTTTATAAGAAACCTGGTGATTACTTAGTCTTAAAAGCTCCAAATATTTATGGTGATATCGATTTTAATATGAAAGGATCTAAATCATACATTTTAATTTCTTTTTTTAAGAAATACTTTGTTGTGATCTCATTTCTTGTTTTATATTAGAAGCAATTAGAATGTGCTATAATATCTATAGTAGTGTATGGAGTTAGTAGTTTATATTTATTATACTTTAGATTCTTTAAAAGTAAAATAATAATAATTATAAAGGTATTTTAAGAAATAATGGTTTGTGTTTTATTTTTACTTATTGGAATAACTATTAAATAAATGTAAGATACTGCTAATGAAGATGTAATATCAAATGAAACTTTACTAAAAATTGAAATACTAGGTAGTATAATTCTAATTTTGACAATTATTTGTTTATCAATAAGTACATTATTGCAGTTTATTAGATATATATTCTTAATTTAAGATCTTATAAAAATTTATAAAAAAAATAAAAGAGAAAAGTAATTGAAGAAAGTAGAACTAGAAGTTGTAATTAGTACAGATTTATAATAATAACTTAATTCGTAGTATAATTCGACTTACATTAGAGTTAATTCATCTAGCATTTATAAAAAAAAGAGATTATTGAAAAATAACAGCTGAGAAAAAAATTCATCATGCTTATATCAAATATAATATATGTTTCAAATGTTTGCTTTGAAATAAAAGTCTAATAGATAATCATATTTTAAATTAGTGAATTTAATAAAGTCAACAGCAATTATTATTACTTATATATATCAAATAGATAGCATAGCATTTAGAATTAAATTATAATAAATGTTTCAAAAATTTATTTAGAATGTTTCTTCAAAAAATTATTTGGATAAAAAGTTGAGCCATTTAATTTTAAAATATACCTGTATATTGTGAAATCTAAAATTAATACTAATAAGAATTAGTAAATATTTAATTAATTTAGTTTTTTTTTCTAGTAAAAAAATATATTTTTGTTTAATATTTTTAAAAATAAAACTCAACATTAGTATAATATAATCTATTTAAAAATTGAATTAATTAATTAAGAAAATAATTCGTTGAATAAACGATATTATTACTTGCAATTTATGAGCTAATATTAAAAAATCTATTAATCTTACAAGAGGTTACAAATTAATTTATTTATTTATAATACTTTTTTTATTGTTTAATCTTTACACTCACTCAGTCAGTTAGTTATGACTTTAGAAACTAACCAATAACTTAAACGGAAAAATACAATTATTCTATATGTCTTTTTTTTAATTAATTTTTACCTCAAATAAATCTATTTATTGAATTTGTTTGAGTGTGGTTTGTTTAAGGATATTTGATAATCATGTTTTATTTAGAGTTTATTAAATGCGTGAAATTGATTTAGATATTAAAAAAAGGAAAATTAATAATTAAAATTTTTTTAGCTTACAAACAAGAATTGATTTATTAAAAGTTCATTTTGATTTAGAAAAGTAGATTACATTAAATGACTGTATTTTTCATAAATTTAGTGTAAAGATAGTTATTAAATTTCATTTTAATCATTGTAATTTCTTAAGAAAAATTTTTAGCTTTAGTCATATTAATATGAGCATAGCGTTTACAACAAAATATAAAAGTAATTTAAATATTAATTTATATTTAAATAAGTAAATAAACAGAAATAATAGATGTAATCTTATTTCTTCTGAAGTTAGGTTTTAGATAAGTATCTTTTCTTTCAAAAAAAAATTTAATTAAATATTATTATGTCAATTTTTCAGCAATACGTAATAAATTTATGATATTTTAAAAATGTTTTATCTGATATTTGATTCTATTTACTTATTTAAAATATGCATTTCAATATATTAATTTTCTGTATTAGTGATAGAATAATTTATATATTTTAATTTTGAAAAAATGACAAAATAAGAAATCAAAATCTGATGATTAAAGTCAATTTAGTTTTTCAATTGTGATTGATTTACATAATTTTGGAATAAAATAAATAAGTGTTATCCATTCTATTTCAGGTTACTAAAATTTATATTGATAAATTGAAATTAATTATTATTTGCTTTTAAACACCAAAAATTTAATTCTAAATTTGAAAGATATCCTAAGTATCTTTACTAAGATAATTAATAGAATCTAATTATTTAAAAAAATAAAAGTTGGACTTAATAGATTAAATTTGAAAATATTTCTTACGAAAAATACTTTTTATTGATAGAATATAATAAATAAATTTTAATATTAGATATTTCTTTTTGTTTACATAATCTTTTTGGGTTTTTACAAATTTTTTAGAAGAAAATAAATTGTTTGAAGAATATCAATTATTTAATTCTTACTTATTTAGCAGTGAATATTTATTTCTTAACTTAATAAGAAATAAAAGGGAAATATAATATTTACTTTAATTAATTTATATAGCAAGAGGTTTTTACACATTTGATTACCAACTAAAAAAGATCATTACTATATACACCCATCAAATATATAAATTTTTAAATTACATGTATAGATAGGAGCTTGTGACTTTATCATTTTATTAAATTTCTCTCATTTTTTTAATGAATTATTATAAATTATTTTATTTCATGATAAATAAATTATAAAAATTAATAAGCAAAGCAATTAACATTTTTTTAACTTTTTTATTAAGAAGGAAATTTAAATATTTTGATAGAATAATTTATTTTGTTTGATTTTATCTTACTCTTAACAAAAAGTAATTAATTTCATTTCTGAATAGGACATTATTTTATTTTTTTAAATAATATTTGAGATCAATTAAAAAATACAAACAAAACTTAATTATCAAGAAAAAAAACAGGAGTAAAAACATAAAAGCTATCTAAAATATGTTACTTTTTTTCATTTTAATTATCACTTCATTTATTAGATGTGATGATATTATAATGAGTCTTATTAAAAACGGTTATAATATGATTAATGGGATTTTCTAATAATGTTTGCCTAATTCTTGTTATAATCAATTTTGCAGTGGTGTTTATCAACTTTCATAGAGTTTCGAAATAGATACTTAATTTTATATAAATATTCCACATTTTCAAGTGGCAACGGTAGTAGATGTAGGAGTTATAAGTGATGTAATAACTCCTGGAACTGTTAAATATACTATTTAACTTGCGGATGAAATGAAACAGGATTTTACTACTTTTTAATTGACCAATTATACAAATTTTGCTGTTAATGCTGATTGTTATCTTAATTCATATAAGCTTACTTATTTTTTTTAAGCTTTGATTATTATGAATACAGGAAGTAACTCAATGAAAACTTTATTACATGACTTTAATACAGCTGCACCTTCTTATCTTTATAGATAGTAAATTAATATTAACGCTTGTCATCCTACATGCTTATAATGCAATGGAATAACTTCAAATGACTGCACTAGCTGTTAATAAGTAGCTAATTTTTCGAATGGATCAAGTGGATCTTGTTCTTGCACTAATCCTTCTGACTATTTTTAAAATGGAGAATGTGTTAATTCTTGTTCTACATATTATGTGCCTAATGGTAAATATTGTCACTATAATTATGGTTGTTATAATCCTGACCC